GTTGCAGTGAGCCAAGATCACGCCTTTGCACTCTAGCCTGGGCAACGAGAGCAAAACTCCATCTCAAAAAAAAAAAGAAAAGAAGAGAGGGCTGGCTGTGATGGCTCATGCCTGTAATCCCAGCATTTTGGAAGGCTGAGGTGGGACAATCTCTTGAGCCTAGGAGTTAGAGGCCAGCATGGGCAATATAACGAGACCTTGTCTCTCTCTAAAAAAAAAAAAAAAAAAAAAAAAAGATGAGAGTAGGGTGAGAAGGGTATTTCAGATGAAGAGAATAAAGTGGGGAGACCTATATTCATCCCTAAATAATGCTCTACTCCACTGGGTCTAAGGCATGGGATCTGAATTAGCAGCATCACCCATACCTAGGAGCTTGTTAGAAGAAATGCAAAACTGGCTGGGCACAGTGGCTCATGCCACTGTAGAATAGTGCAGAATGGTGAATGAGTAGAATGGTGCTTCTCAAACTTTAGCACGCTCCAGAAACACCTGGAGGGCTCCCCCAGCATTTCTGATTTTGCAGGAATGGCGTGGGATTCAAGAATTTGCATTTCTTTCTTTTTTTTTTTTTTTTGAGACAGAGTTGCACTCTGAAGCCCAGGCTGGACTGCAGTGGCACAATCTCAGCTCCACTGAACCTCCACCTCCTGGGTTCAAGCGATTCTCCTGCCTCAGCCTCCCAAGCAGCTGGGACCACAGGCACCCACCACCATGCCCGGCTAATTTTTGTATTTTCAGTAGAGATGGGATTTCACCATGTTGGCCAGGCTGGTCTCAAACTCCTGACCTCAAGTGATCCACCTGCCTTGGCCTCCCAAAGTGCTGGGATTACAGGCATGAGCTACCATACCTGTCCATATTCTTTTTTTTTTTCTAAATATTTCTTTGTGTGTACATAATAAAAAATTAAATAGTACAGTACATGATAAAAAAAATTCAACACTTGCCCTCCCTAGAAGCACACTGAACTTTTCTCTTTTTAATTCTAAAGAATAAGCTAAATAATATTCTTATATGCCTATTTTGAAATGTACTATCTTGGTGTCCACTGATTCCGTACTCTAAGGGATGAAAATTTAGCTAGCCAAACTCTTCCACTTAACTGTTACATTATTTTTAAGTTCTACTTGTTTCCTATGTTTGAAAAATCTACTCAATCCTCTGTAGTTCTAATACTTTCCAACAACTTTTTATCTCAATTAAAAAAAAAAATCACATCTATTCATTTATGTAATTTTTTTTTTTTAATTTTGAGACAGGGTCTCCCTCTGTCATCCAGGCTGGAGGCACGATCTTGGCTCACTGCAACCTCTGCCCCCCGGTTTCAAGCAGTCCTCCCACCCCAGCCTCGCCAGTAGCTGGGACTACAAGTGCATGCCACTATGCATGACTAATTTTTGTATTTTTTTTTTGCAGAGATGGGGTCTCACCATGTTGCCCAAGCTGGTCTCAAACTTCTGGGCTCAAGCGCTCTGCCAGCCTCGACCTCCCAAAGTGCTGGGATTATGGGTGTGAGCCACTGCGCCTAGCCCATTTATATAATTTTAAAAGTCAAAATGATTCTGTAGTATTTAATGAAAGAGTCCTTGCTCCTTTACCCCCATTACAGATTCTTACTCCCTAAAAGCAACTACTTTCAACTGTTTCTCCTAGTATTTGCTTCCATGTTCACGTTGCCCAGGCCAGAATGCAGTGGCGAGATCTCGGCTCACTACAACCTCTACCCCGGGGTTCAAGTGATTCTCCCGCCTCAGCCTCCTGAGTAGCCAGGATTACAGAGGTGTACCACCACGACCGGCTACTTTTTTGTATTTTTAGTAGAGACAAGATTTCTCTATGTTGGCCAGGCTGTTATTCTTAAATAACAGTTTTACTTCTACTTCTTGATTTTACAATTTTTGATATCTAATTACTTCTTATTGTGGAAGATAAAGATTTAACTCACATTTTCCTTCTACCAAAACACCACAAATCCCCATGCTACTAATAATTCATGCAGCCAGGCGTGGTGGCTCATGCCTGTAATTCCAGCACTTTGGGAGGCCAAGGCAGGCAGATCATTTGAGGTCAGGAGTTTGAGACCAGCCTGGCCAGCATGGTAAAATCCCATCTCTACTGAAAATACAAAATTAGCCGGGCATGGTGGTGCATGTCTGTAGTCCCAGCTACTTGGGAGGCTGAGGCAGGAGACTTGCTTGAACCCGGGAGATGGAGGTTGCACTGTATGCCAGCCTGGACAACAGAGCGAGACTCCGTCTCAAAAAAATAAAATAATAATAATTCATTCATACTAATGTTTGGTTATATTGGTTTTTATTATTATGACATTATAGTTACATAATGTTATTATTTACTTATTTAGAGCTGGGCGACAGAGTGACTATGAGTGCAGTGCTGAGTGCGGTGCTATGATCATAGCTCACTGCAGCCTCAAACTCTTCTGCTCAAGTGATCTTCCTGCCTCAGCCTCCGAGCAGCTAGTTTCTATGTGCTTTTTTTTTTGAGACGGAGTCTGACTCTTGTTGCCCATGCTGGGGTGCAATGGGGTGATCTTGGCTCACTGCAACCTCTGCCTTCCGGGTTCAAGCGATTCTCCTGCCTCAGCCTCCTGAGTAGCTGGGATTACAAGCATGTGCTACCACACCCGGCTAATTGTGTCTTCTTATTTATTTGTGAGGAAGACAGAGCTGAACAAATTATATCAATATGTGCAAATATCAATACAAGATTTTGCTAAGGGAGAGCCTTTTTTTCTGGTCAGTTACATTTGAAGTAGGCTCCTCGTAAGGTCTTTGTAATTCAAGGTCCTGGGCTCCACACTGAAGAGCTGCACCGTACTGCCTCTAGGGGTCAGCATAACGCGAAGGATGAGCAAGCACAGCCACCCATTTCAGAAAGCAAAGATTTGTAGGGTGGAGGAAGGAATGCAGGTAACTATGCAGGTTTCCACTGAAAGTGAGAATGAGGAGTTGAGGGGAAGCAGATTCTATGCCCAGTCCACACACTGTTTTGATTTGTGTTCAACAGACGATCAGGGACCCAAATAATTTAATAATATTTGGCCTATCACATAAACTCCCTTGAAATTAGTGACAGGATTTTCTTTTCTTTTCCTTTACAATTTTAACTTAAAGACCAGTGTGATAGTAAACTGACAGGATTTTCATTATACTCCTCATACATACTGAAAGCCACTTACTTTTTAAAATTTTATTTTATTTTATTATCATTATTATTATACTTTAAGTTTTAGGGTACATGTGCACAACGTGCAGGTTTGTTACATATGTATACATCAGTCACTTACTTTTTAAATGTCTGTTTTGACACTTTGGACTTAGACCACAGATATTAAACACCACAAATTGCTTGTCCCAAATATAATGGTTTTTCTTTTTTTCTAATTTTTATTTTTTATTATTAAATATCTATCTATATTTTTTTTTTTTGTAGAGATGGGTATCATACCACATTGCCCAGGCTGGTCTCAAAAATCCCAGGCTCAAGCAATTCTCCTGCCTTGGCCTCCCAAAGTGTTGGGATTACAGGTGTGAGCCACTGTGCCCAGCTATGTAATGGTTTTTCAATTCGAACTTCCTATATATTTTTTATTTATTTTGAGCCAGGGTCTCACTCTGCTGCCCAGGCAGGAATGCAGTGGCACAATCATGGCTCACTGTAGCCTCCAACTCTTAGGCTCAAGCCATCCACCTACTTCAGTCTCTTGAGTAGCTAGGACTATAGACACACACCACCACGCCAGGCTAACTTCTTTATTTTAATTTTTTTTAGAGATGGGGTCTTGCTATGACCTAGGCTGGTCTTGAACTGCTGGCCTCAAGTGATCCACCTGCTTCAGCCTCCCAAAGTGCTGGGACTATAGGTGTGAGCCACTGCACCCAGCCCAAATTTCTTATTTTAAGGCTAGAATGATGAGTGGCTGGCTGGCCCTCTCTCTAAGGTAGTAAATGGTGGGCTTTATTCTTTTTATCTATAAACTATTTTATTTTATTTTTGAGACAGTCTCACTCTGTTACCCAGGCTGGAGTACAGTGGAGTAATCTCGGCTCACTGCAACCTCCTTCTCCCGGGTTCAAGTCATTCTCCTGCCTCAGCCTCCAGAGTAGCTGGGATTACAGGCACCCATCACCACCCTTGGCTAATTTTTGTATTTTAATAGAGACGAGGTTTCACCATGTTGTCCAGGCTGCTCTTGAACTCCTGACCTCATATGATCCACCTGCCTCAGCCTCCCAAAATGCCAGGATTCCAGGTATAGGCCGCCGCGCCTGGCTACCTATAAACCATTTTATATTACCTCTGCAGAAGTGTGGTAAGCATACATTTCTGGGGGAACTCATTAATGAAACTCACTGCCATTATGCTGCCTCTCAGTCACTGCATGGTGTCAATCTCAGAGACATTTGAAGGGCTAAAATATAAGCAGGGGTAATTAACAGCACACTTTGCTTTTATATCTTGGTATATTTCCTCGTGCCTCGGAACAATACTGCTGGGGACCACAGCTGATTTTCTGCCTTGGTTGATGACTGCTATGCAGTGAGAATTTAACAGTGTTGGCAATCTATGCTACAAGAAAAAGAGCATTGTATTTTTCCTCTTCCTTTAAGGGGAAAAGAAGAAACAGCACTTGGGCAGTTCAGTAACAGTCTTTGGGCATAAGAAAAGAAATCATTTCTTATTCCTTACAAACTGATTTACAAAAGAACACTGGAAGCTAAAAGCCGTGTTGATTTATCATGTGAAGCAGAGAGTAATTTTTCTCCCCTTGTTATGCTTTCATATAATCATGCTCACTGCCTGTATGGGTGGCATTAAAGAATTTTTGAATAAAAATAATAATTTCTTGCTTTCAACCTTCATAATTCACATCAGCAAGCACCCTGCTGGGTGGCGATGCCTACTGCCAGTGACGCTCAATCTTTTTTGCGTGCCACTTATCTGCCTCGCACAGCTGCGTGCTCCATTGATCGCAATACCTGCAGGATAATGTGCCCGAAGGCGTTCTTCAGCAGATTAACCACATCCGCGTGAGACAGCCCATCCAAAGGTTGCCCGTTAATGCTGACAATCCGATCCCCAACCTGGAAGCACAAAAGTGACAGAAAATCACTATCATTAAGAAAAATTAAATTTGAGAAGAATGCTTAAAATTCTTTGCAAGTCCTATTTCCCATTGGTGGCTATTGTGAGGATTCTGCGTTACTACTGTGTATACATGTTCAAGAAGCATGAGGAATTTTTTTGGCTTTCCCCAAATACAGACAAATCAGAGCAACAAGAAGGGGGTCAGATTTGATTATTAAAAAGCACAGTAGGCCACTTTTGTATTCTGGTAATGGTGGTGTTTCATACATCCATTGCCAGTAATAGCGAGGTGTACACATTAACTGTTCAATAAAGTTCTAATGAGGAAGCCAAATATTTTCTGCTTTATTTTTCTACTGAAATTAAGATTAAGGGGCAACAAGGGGGAGAAATCATAAAAATGGTGATTCTTTTGATTGAGGGAAGACTCTAAGGTCAAATGTCTCTCAGTTGAGAGCTGAGTTTGGGTGAAATGAGGTGCTTAAAAGGGTAAAGGAGGGTTTGCAAAGGGGCTGCAATTTCTTCCTTTATTGAGAAGCTTTGATACAAATAATAATATTTTTGCGTGCCTGGGGACCTAATGAATTTCTAAAGGTATAAAGCTTCTTTAATGCATCTTGCCCTCAGCCTGGGTCTCTGATGGCTATTGGAATTCCAGTTTTAAACAAGGTGCCCAGGGCTGCAACTTCCTCTCCCACCCCACCACATGCTGTTAGCTCTTCAACCAGTTATCTTTTGTTTACTTTAAGCTTCTGTGTCCGTGCAGCCACTCCACTGGCCTGAATCATGGCAATAAATATAGGGATATCTCCTAAGGGACTTCCTCTTCCTCCAGCAATACTGATTCCAAGGGCATCACTGAGCTCCTAAAAAAGAAAGAAAACATAATGCTTATATTTTTAATAAAGAGCCACAAACTGACTATCCCCAGATAGCTGTTGAACAAAATCCCTCCATGAGGTAGGAGGCCAAGATAACACAGGAGTTAAATGTGGAGACTTCGGAGTAGACAGCTCTAGCTCTTTTTTTTTTTTTTTTTTTTGAACAAAGTTTCGCTCTTGTTGTCCAGACTGGAGTGCAATGGCACCATCTCAGGTCACTGCAACTTCTGCCTCCCAGGTTCAAGCAATTTTCCTGCCTCAGTCTCCTGAGTAGCTAGGATTACAGGTGCACGCCATCACGCTTGGCTAATTTTTTGTATTTTTAGTAGAGACAGGGCTTCACCATGTTGGCCCGGCTGGTCTTGAACTCCTGACCTCAGGTGATCCACCCGTCTTGGTCTCTCAGAGTGCTGGGATTACAGGTGTGAGCCACCGTGCCCAGCCCCAGCTCTAGCTCTTAATTAGTTGTGGGGTCTTGGGGGAAGTTACTTAACCTTGTGAAAATTGTCAGAATCAAATTGGAGTCACTTGTGTTAAAAAAAAAAATCCTTACCAATAGAGCCAGGAAAGGCTATGAAGAAAGGGTTCTCAGGCTTGTATGCCTGATAACAAAAATTATCACAAAAGACTGCAAAAACCACAACCCTGCAGGAAGGATGTCACAACCTTACATTAAAAAAAAGTTTCTACAAGTGCATTTGTCTGGCAAATGCCTGTCCAGCCTTGGGCTGTGTGTCACCCGTGTTATTAATCTTTGTAGCCAAGGATAATTATCTCAAAATAATTATATATTCCTCATTTTGTCCTCTAAAAACTTTTATTTTCCTTACCTGCCTGAATATGCACGTAGTCTACCATGGCCCGCATATTCCCATTCCTCAATAAACACCATTTTCTTTTAGAGAGCCTCTCTGTTATTTAGGCTGACTACCTCTTAAAGCCTCCATCTCTATATATAAAATGAGAAGAATACTACATACCTGACAGTGTTGGTCTGAGCATTAAATGAGATGGTATGGCACACTCATGGCCTACAGAAAAGGCTCAATAAAAGGCAATAGCAGGAGTAAATTAAACACACACACACACACACACACACACACACACACAACGCCCTATGCAGCTGCTTAGTTTAGTGGCCAATTCTGATGCAGACTTGGCAAGTATATTCTCATATGGTGTTTATGATTAAACTGCCACACATACTATGCTCTTCTGGGTGTGAACAAACACATTTGGCTTTAAAAGACTGCGTTAAAACAAAGGATTTGAGAGGACACCCACTGTAGTGACAACAGTTTGAAGAGAGACATAAAATGTGGCTGAAAATGTTCCCCAAGATGGACTCTGGTGAAGAGACTTGGCTCTAGTCCAGTCTTTTCCCACATTAGTATCATAGGGTTAATATTTTTAAAATCACTAAAAGAACAAATGACAAGTCCCAGTTCTGGCATGGTAGCACAGACACGTGACAGCATATCGCTCCTGCTGGTTACAATCAAGATGTCTAGTCAAAATGTGAAAAACAACTACCTGGGGCCTCTGAAACAAAAAGAAACCAAATAAAGTGTGGTGGAGAGTCAAAACTTGGAGAAACCACAGCAGCGAGGGGAAATTCCCAGTTTTATTTTTTTTCCTGGCAGCTTTACCCTGAGGGCGATTCCCAGTCAAGGAGCTGGAAAGGTAGGCTGAATGCTAACATTCAGATAGAAATTCCATCCTTCTAGGCAGAATAATCAGGAAAAAGAGGGAAAGAGAAGAAAAGCAGAGTAGAGGAAGCAGAAGAAAACGAATCCTCAGTTCTGTTTGTGAACCCACAGAACTCTCAGGCTACGTATGTGTGGGACAGACCCAAACCAGCATAGCAGAAGCTTAGAGGCTGAGTGCGGTGGCTCACTCCTGTAATCCCAGCACTTTGGGAGGCCGAGGTGGGTGGATCACTTGAGGTGAGGAGTTTGAGACCAGCCAGGCCAGCATGGTGAAACCCTGTCTCTAATGAAAAATACAAAAAATTAGCTGGGCATGGTGGCATGCACCTGTAATCCCAATTACTTGGGAGGCGGAGGGAGGACAATGACTTGAACCTGGGAGGTGGAGGTTTCAGTGAGCCGACATTGCACCACTGCACTCCAGCCTGGGCAACAGAGCGAGACTCTCTCAGAAAAAAAAAGAAAGAAATTTCTGCTTGGATCACGTGTGGTAGAACAGGGTAGGTAGGAGCAGGCTTTATTACAAAAGCCTGTAAAAACAAGTGGCTGAAATGACTAAGGAAATATAAAATAATATTATTTTTGAAATCTTAGGGGAGAAATGTATGCAATAATTTTTTGGCTTTGTTTAAATCCATCATGATGTTTCCTTAATTTATCCATAATTATCTATACTGTTGGTACATTTAACTTCCCCATGATAGGAACATTTGAGTTGCTACTCTGGTGGAAAAATCCTGGGAACAAATAAGGCAGATTTAGTCAAAGCTGTAGCTAATAACAACAGAGCCACTTCCTAGGCATTCCTGATGCACTAGGTACTATGCTAAAGATATTACATTCATTACCTCACTTAATCCACACAACAATATTTACCTTTGAGGTAAGTTAGTGTTATCACTCCCATTCTACAGACGCGAAAATTGAGGTTGAGGTTGACTTGCTAACTATTATAGAGCTAATGGCTTTTTTTTGAGATAGGGTTTTACTCTGTCGCCCAGGCTGGAGTGCCGTGGCATGATCACGGCTCACTGCAGCCTCAACCTCCTGAGCTCAAGCGATCCTCCCACTTCAGCCTCCCAAATAGACCACAGGCATGTACCACCATGCCTGGCTAATTAAAAAAAAAATTATTTGTAGAGACAGAGTTTCCCCATATTGCCCAGGCTGGTCTCAAACTACTGGGTTCAGTGATCCTCCCACCTCGGCCTCCCACAATGCTGGGATTACAGGTATGAGCCACCACACCCAGCTGTACAGCTAATGTACAGGCTGAATTGTGTCCCCCTAAGAATCACATGCTGAAGCCCTAAGTACCAGGGCCTCAAAATGTGACTGTATTTGGAGATAGGGCCTTTAAAATGAGGCCAGGGTGAGCCCCAGTCCAATGTGACTGGTGTCCTTATAAGAAAAGATTAGGACATAGGAGAGACACCAGGGATGATGAGTGACACACAAAAAAGGCCACGTGAGGCTACAGCAAGAAAGCGGACATCTGCATTCCAAGGAGGGGGGCCTCAGGAAAAACCAAATGTGCAGACACCTTCCTCTTGGATCTAGCCTTCAGAACTGTGAGAAAATAAATTCCCGTTGTTTAAGCCACCCAGTCTGGGGTGTTTTGTAACTGCAGATCTAGCAAACTAATGCAGCTAATAAATGGTAGAATGCTCTCAAACAGAGGTATCATTAAATCTAGAGAAGTAAGCTCTGCTGGATATCACTTTACTGCAGTGGATTACCATGATTACAACAAGGTCATTATTTGTTCTTGAACCCCTCATTTAGGTCAAAGTGAGCAAAATAAAAGTCTACTTTTGGCCGGGGCTGGTGGCTCATGCCTATAATCCCAGCACTTCAGAAGGCTGAGGAGGTTGGATCACTTGACGGTAGGAGTTCGAGACTAGCCAGGCCAACATGGAGAAACTGTGCCTCTACAGAAAATACAAAAATTAACCAGGCGTGGTGGTGCATGCCTGTAGTCTCAGCTACTTGGGAGACTGAGGCACGAAAATTGCTTGAACCCCGGAGGTGGAGGTTGCACGGAGCTGAGATCGCGCCACTGCATTCCAGCCTGGGCGACACAGTGACTCCATCTCAAAAAGAAAAAGAAAAAGAAAAAAAGAGTCTACTTTCATTAGATATCATCACAGAGGAGTCTGAAAATCAGGGTTCAACAAATTTATGAACTGAAATACATCTTATACAATCTTCTCAAAAGCGGAATTTAGCAACATGTATAAAAGTCTCTAATAACAAACTTGGCTTTTGACCCCGAAACTTCATTTCTAGGAATTAATCCTGAGGAAATTACTTATGATATGGGCAAAAATATAAAGATGTTTTACTATAAAAGATAGCAAAAATCGAGAAATATGCTAATTGTTCAATAATAGGAAACTGGTTAAGAAACTTATAGCATGGTTGGCTGGGTGCAGTGGCTCACTCCTGTAATCCCAGCACTCTGGGAGGCTGAGGCGGGCAGATCATGAGGTCAGGAGATCAAAATCATCCGGCTAACACGGTGAAACCCTGTCTCTACTAAAAACATAAAAAATTAGCTGGGTGTAGTAGCGGGCGCCTGTAGTCCCAGCTACTCGGGAGACTGAGGCAGGAGAATGGTGTGAACCCGGGAGGCGAAGCTTGCAGTGAGCTGAGATCACGCCACTGCACTCCAGCCTGGGTGACAGAGCAAGACTCTGTCTCAAAAAAAAAAAAAAAAAAAAACGAAAAGAAACTTATAGCACATTCATATGCTGGAGTACTATGAAATCAATAAAAATCATGCCACATGCTGTCAAAAAATACTCACTTAGTATGTGCCACATGATACCATTTTTGTTTTATAAAACTTTACATGTACAGGTTAAAAGACTAAGATTGAAAAAAAAATAAAATTTACAGGCACAGAATATAGTGGATGAGATTTGCCAAAAAATTCATAGAGGTCATCTCTGTGCTCTACTGTACTTTTCTAAGTCTATTTATTGATGTTATTTAGACCATATTTTTATCTCAGTAACTTGAAAGAGCACACTTACAATCCAATAAATTGTATTGGGGAAAATGTACATTTAATGCAAATCCAACACAAACCAGAAAAACATATATAGCAAAATGACTGACTTACCCTGTTTATCTCAACAGTCCTTGGTTCCATATCTATGCCTATAAAGAAGCAACACAATTAACTTTTTAACATTAAAAAATAATATATTTAGGATATAATATTGTCCCATGAAAAATGGTTTCATTTTCTCGGTCTTTCAAGATAAGACACTAAAGCAAGCAGGTATTGTACACCCCTCCTCAGCATCCAAGCTGGTAGCCAAGTCACCAGGGGCCATGTCCTCCTTTTTTTTTTTTCTTTTGAGACAAGTCTCGCTTTGTCACCCAGGCTGGAGTGCAGTGGCACCATCTCAGCTCACTGCAACCTCTGCCTCCCAGATACAAGCAATTCTCCTGCCTCTGCCTCCAAACAGCTGGGATTACAGGCGCCCGCCACCATGCCCAGCTAATTTTTGTATTTTTAGTAGAGACTCAGTTTCACCAAGTTGGTCAGGCTGGTCTCAAACTCTCAACCTCAAGTGACCCACCGTACCCAGCCTGCTGTGTCCTCTATTTTTAAGAAGTGCTCTCTGTCTGAGATTGATGTGGCCATAATCATTTGGTCTGACAAAAGTTGATGCGCTATATAGCAGCAGCTGCCTGGAACATGGTGAGTAAATGCTTGGAGGATTGAGTCATTTGTGTTTTGTTTTGTTTTTTTTAGATGGAGTCTCACTCTGTCACCCAGGCTGGAGTGCAGTGGTTCGATCTCAGCTCACTGCCATCTCTGCCTCTTGGGTTCAAGCGATTCTCCTGCCTCGGCCTCCCGAGTAGCTGCGATTACAGGCATGTGCCACCACGCCCGGCTAATTTTTGTATTTTTAGTAGAGGCAAGGTTTCTCCATGTTGGCCAGGCTGGTCTTGAACTCCTGACCTCAGGTGATCCGCCCGCCTTGGTCTCCCAAAGTGCTAGGACTACAGGCATGAGCCACCGCGCCCAGCAGAGTCATCTGTGTTTCATTGTACATTTTTTTCTACCTTAATCAAAGATAACCCTCCATTCAACAAAAGACTTAAAAGGACCCCTTGTCCCATCCTGTCCCCAAGGATATACACACTTTTTTTTCTTTTTAACTGGCCCAATTTTCCCATAGAAGGTATACACACTTCTCACCTTTCTTCAGTGACCTGTAATTTATTAATTTTCTCTTTGTAAATAATTTTACTTTATGATGCACTCCAGCTTTCTGCTTTTCTGTTTTTCAGGTGCTCTGTGTTGTGCCACTGAAGGAATTTCTTTTTTTTTTTTTCTTGAGACGGAGTGTTGCTCTGTCACCCAAGCTGGAGTGCAGTGGCACCATCTCGGCTCACTGCAACCTCTACCACCCCCTCCAGGTTCAAGCAATTCTCCTGCCTCAGCCTCCCAAGTAGCTGGGACTACAGGCGTGTGCCACCACAACCAGCTAATTTTTTTGTATTAATAGAGACGGGGTTTCGCCATGTTGGCCAGGTTGGTCTCGAACTCCTGACCTCAGGTAATCTGCCTGCCATGGCCCTCCCAAAGTGCTGGGATTACAGGCATGAGCCACCATGCCTGGCCACCACTGAAGGAATCTCTATGGCTTTCTTACCTTCAGAACAGGCCTTTCGGAAAGCTCAGCTTATGCAGCCAAGCTCAAAAAATTAAAAAACATTTAAATTAAAGAGGACTTTTAAAAAACACACACATATATATATATATATATATTTTTAAATTTGGGTAACAGGATAGTTTTGCTGTGGGTGTGTCTGTGTAATACCTGAATTTTTCTGGGAAGGATCTGAAACTCTTTTTGTGCCAACCAGGTTTTGCAGGCCAGTGATGACAGGAGCGAAGGAGGGATGACAGCTGCTGTGTGCGCTCTGTTGACTGCCCTGAAAGAAAGACCCAGGGGTCACCTGTGTGCAGACACTGACTTGGCCCCCAAAATGCATACTTATCCATTAGTGTGCCAATTACTGATGTCACCATAACCATCTAACAGAAAATCATGAAGAGGCCGAGAAAGAAAACAAAAATCACCCACACTTATTCTCTTACTACCTCAACCCAATCCCATTTAGACATTTCCCCCATTGCTTTCTCCATTATATGTGCTTTTGTATATGGTTTCAATCACCAAGATGAAGAACATACAATCATTTCAGCTGTTCTTGCTCCACATAAAATCAAAACCATTTTCCTAGGTTGCCACATAGTGTTTATGTATATATAGTCAGCTAATGGGCACTATGTTTCATTTGGGGTTACAGTCAACCTTATTACCCAAAATGTATTTGGGTATTCCCTTATTACCCAAAATGTATTATGTATTTTGCTAAAACAAGTATAATAAGACCTTGATTAGCAGAAACCTGCCAAAATAGAACCCTCAATTGTGGGGAAAAAAGCACCAAATCTCAAGGGTTTTTAAAAAGGCTTGTTTTAGGGATATATAACATTTTCTCTCAAATATTTTCCTAGAATCTGTAATAATTTAGTCCAATCTGCTAGACCTCCATTACTTGTCCCTTTATTCATTTAAATGAATATGTGAGGTTAATACTGTGTAGTCTTTTAAGGCTAGTGGCTATTCAACAAAAATTGTATACATAGTGAAGAGCCTTCTTTATGTAGACAACAGTATTGCAAATAATGAATAATTTTTTCTAATGAATTATTCTGCATCAAAACTTTAAGCTAAGCCTAAGATCACCGTTATCAGTTCATAAATTATAATTTGGTACATTTTCTTAACTCTCTGATGAAAATTTTGTTTAATATTTTAATTCCTAAAATATGAAAACCCTCAAATATATAGAAAAGCTGAATTATACAATAGACGTCCATATAAATAGCACCTAGATTTCACAATTAGTATTTTGCTATGTTTCCTTTATCACATAGTTATTTATCTATTCATCACTCATCTATTTCTTTTCTTAAATTCATTTCAAAGTAAGTTGCAGATCTCAATATACTTCACAGTGGCTATATACATTTAAAAGAGTGTTTTTATATTTTTCCTTAAAGGATATGATTTAAATAAATGGTACTATAATAGATAACTACTCAGAACAGGAAGTGCAGCATATTATAACTTTTGCCTTTAAAAAATTTCAGAAAGATGTGTTTGCCAAGACCTTTATTGTATTGTATTATAATATTTGAGGAGTCTCCCTCTGTCACCCAGGCTGGAGTGCAGTGGTGCAGTTTCAGCTCACTGCAACCTCCGCCTCCCAGATTTAAGTGATTCTCCTGCCTCAGCCTCCCGAGTAGCTGGGATTACAGGAGCCCACCACCATGCCCAGCTAATCTTTAGTACAGACAGGGTTTCACCAGGCTCTTTGGCCAGGCTGGTCTTAAACTCTGGCCCTCAAGTGATCTGCCCACCTCGACCTCCCAAAGTGCTGGGATTACAGGTATGAGCCACCACGCCCGGCCCCAAGACGTTTATAAAAGTACACTTTGCCTGGCTGTGTTGCCTTAGTTGACTGAGGAAAAGATCTCACAAGAATTCCTTCCTCTGCAGGGTAAGGAAATTTCTTCCTGGTTTGTGGGGAAAGTCACTTTAAAAAAAGACGCTTGGTGGCCCCAAAGCTAGAAGTTATTTCTCTCTTAATGAACTCACTTTCTATAAATTAAGTCAACAGCTTATTCTCCTTAGCGCTCAAAAGAAGGCATTTATCTCCCTATTTTGTAACTATTCAGAAGGAAATCTGTGTTCCTACAAGATCCTGATTTTTTAAACAGGTCTGGATGTAAAAATGTTTGGCAATGGAATCTTGTTTTTGCCCACCAGGGTCAGTCTTCAACTCATCATGATGGGAAGACATTTCCTTTTCACAGTCGGCTACCAGCCTTCTTCTAATTAGCCAAATAGGGCAAACTCTTCTATCTCACCCATAATTTAAACCAAGGTGATGATATGTTTACTGTTTTCAAAAATTGAATTAAACTCCTACCCTCTGAAATTAAAATTCTGTGCAAGAAGAGTAGGGCAAAGCATTTGATACTTTGTCCCAGGTTTCTAAAATATGACAGCTCACATTCATATACCAGGTAAGTGATGACGATAGGTTTCTTTTTTTTTTTTTTTTTTTTTATTTATTTAATGATGCAGCTTCTAAATTTGCTAGTTCTGTCTTCAAGTGTGAACTTAAAAATTACGAAGATGCATCTGGGCGCAATGGCTCATGCCTGTAATCCCGATACTTTGGGAGGCTGAAGGTGGGTGGATCACCTGAGATCAGGAGTTTGAGACCAGCCTGACCATGATGTTTTGAAACCCTGTCTCTACTAAAGGTACAAAAATTAGCCGGATGTGGTGGCGGGCACCTGTAGTCCCAGCTACTTGAGAGGCTGAGGCAGGAGACTCACTTGAACCCAGGAGGCAGAGATTACAGTAAGCCAAGATTGCACTGCGCTCCAACCTGGGCAACAGAGCGAGACTCTGTCTTAAAAATAAATAAATAAATAATTATGAAGATGCTCACATACACTCCTCAAGAGGGACAGAAATCCAGTTCTCTCCACTACCTTACCTGTTGATCAGTCCAGACTTTTCTTAAATCACACAAACTCCCGTTACCTCTTTGTGCCTTTGTGTATGCTATTTTCCCTGTCTGAGATGCCTTTTCCTTCTTTTTGCCAAACTCCATCTGGACTGAGATTCAGTGGAAGCTCCTCTGGATAGCTTCATTCTCATTTTTCTGTATACAATAAGGCTTTAATGAAATCATTCAACAAAGATGAGTCTTCCATTAAGGAAGAATCCTGGCTAGACAACTGTTTTGTTTGTTGATAGAAGTCTGGTCAATATCATCACTAACTATTAACTCATGGAATCCTACAGCAGCACCATGTCTTAGATATTTGCTGCCCATTAGGTAAGCCAGAAATGAAAAAAAAAAAAAAAAAAAAGGGTTTCAAACTTAATATGGTGTTTACTGGGTTTGACTGCTTTGAAGATTCCCTAAGATAAGCCAGCTAGTCTGTAAGCCTATCTGAATAATGGTATTTTCCTCACTCATTTTTTAACACCAGTGAGGAACAGGAGGCGGCTAACAGCTTTCCAGAAGTACCTGTGGGCTAACTGTAAGATCAGAGCATCTTCTGAACAAAGGCCTTGGAGAGGCTTCAGAAATAAGGCAACCAGGCAGGGGACCAAAAGTCATGCTTTTAACCTCAAAACTAAGGCGGCCTATCCATAACCCAGAGAGGAGACTAAGGGGTCGCCTATCAGTTTCTATAGTCTCATTATGTACCACATGGGGCTAACCATACAGTCTACCATCTTGATTTTGTCAGCCATTACAATGAAAAAAATATAGTTAAATATACTTTGCTAAAAAAAAAAAATGGCACTTACATCAGCCTTGCAAATAAATATAAGATGTTTGCTAACCCACAAAATATCACCCACTAAGGCCTCCCTCCCACAGGAAAAACCCCTACACTTGGTTCTCCTAGGAATATGCCATTAATTGCCCTCAGCATGTGTGAGTGGCTAGTCACAAGTTAACTTTACAGCAATATTTAATTGAATGAATAGAACAATGTTGTGCTAATGAGGGTCAAATTGCCACCAGATGTTGCCTTTTTTTAAAATAAACACAGCTGTGTACATGCGTGCACAGGCGATAAAAAACTAATAGTGAGAGAGAAAAGTGGTTCTAAGAAAACATTTGCAAGCAATAGAGAGAAAAATCGAGGGATTAATGAATTTCCATCCCGCCTTTCATTTTTATTTCAAACACATGAAAATTCACTAAACTTGGTGCTGTGAATATGCTGTACATTAGATATTATTTCCAAACAATCATTTATTAAATGGGGAGTTTTCTCCCAATGGGGGCAGAAGAGTGAGTCAGTCTGATGAGAAGCCATCGACAACCTGACTGTTCTGTGGTGTCTGCCTTGCGGAGGTCCAGGAACCAGCTCGGAGTCTTCCAATCTCTAGCTGCACAAGCCCCTGTGCACACTTGGAAAGGCAAGAAAAGAACAGAAATGAAAAGTAGTAGCATTTACATTCTTAAATATCTTAACAGAGCCTCTCCCTGCAGCCATGAATTATAAAAGGGTAATGAAAGCAACAGGCATAGCCCTAGAGAGAGGAGGATGAATTCTGTGGCTCCTGGAGGGCCCATCTCATCAAACGCATTTAGAGAACAGTCACGGATACTCAGAATGTTCACAAGTATGAAGAACTTGCTTGTGAAATCCCAAAGCAGGTTCCCTTTCATTCTGTTAGTCAATATAACAGAACTTTCTTTTAAAGCTATTCCTGCTCATTTAAAATAATCAGAGATTAAATTTTCAGTAAAAACTAGAGTTAGCATAAAGTCCAACCCATTTTATAATGAAGCTAGACTGAACAGTTCCCACTGGACTTCAGTTGTGCCAGCTGAGTAAAAAAGCAGCCTAGCAACTCACCTTTAGGATGGTGGCCACTGTCTCCTGTGAGGCATTTCTCATGTCCTCCCCATTCACAGATAAGATCTGATCTCCCTGAATCAATCTCCCATCCAGGTCTGCGGCTCCGCCTTTCACGATGTCAGAAATAAACACTCCGCTTCCATTTCTGTTAATACCATACAGCAGTGCAGTATTGGCACAACCTAGTATCTTCCAGTTTTCTTTTCTTTTTTTTTTTCTTTTTTGAGACGGAGTCTCGCTCTGTCGCCCAGGCTGGAGTGCAGTGGCCGGATCTCAGCTCACTGCAAGCTCTGCCTCCCGGGTTCACGCCATTCTCCTGCCTCAGCCTCCCGAGTAGCTGGAACTACAGGCGCCCGCCACCTCGCCCGGCTAATTTTTTGTATTTTTTAGTAGAGACGGGGTTTCACCGTGTTAGCCAGGATGGTCTCGATCTCCTGACCTCGTGATCCGCCCGTCTCGGCCTCCCAAAGTGCTGGGATTACAGGCTTGAGCCACCGCGCCCGGCCTAGTTTTATTTTCTTTTTGTTTCTTTCATACCTTGGCAATTCGTCTTTATCAGCACATGGAGCTTCCTCATTTTTTAAATGGCTACATACTATTCTATGATGTTTCATAATTTCACTTACCAGTAGCTTACTGATGGACATACAGGTTATTTCCATTCTTTAACTATTGCAAACAACAAGCAATGAATATCTGTAAGTATATCTTTAAGATAAAGTCCTAGTGATGGAATTGTTAGTCAAAGAAAATTGTGACTTTTGAGAACTACGCATCCTTTACAATGCAAGTTTTTGTGCTAAGGAATGTAAATTCTCCTTACAAACTCAACCTGAAATACTGATGTTCACTAAAAGCAAAAAACATTACTCTAAATGAAACTGCACCAGGTATACATATGCGTCAAAACAAGAAAGCAAACTTCAGCACTGGCTCTGTCAGTTGCTATGCATCCAGATGTGCACTGATTTTTGTTTAGAAATGTAAGAGACTCAGCTTTTTTGGTTTGGTAATACATTTTCAGAGTGATGGTTTTATGGTGCTGAAGTAAAAAAAAAAAAAAGAGAGATTATGACAGCACAATACTTGGCCCAAAATCAGTACTCAAAAATTGTAGCTAATATTTTTATTTTAATAACAGCTTGGACTGTTGAACAAAAGCACTAGGCTAGTCACCAGAGGTCTGTGAGGGCATATAACGTAACATGCATAAAACCAACTTAATTTCTTCCTTAACAACATGGTCAATACACTTTAAGGCCATATTAGGATATTACCTGGAAATCCTATAGTCCTGTTGGGATAAACACATACTAGATACCTAAAAGCCAGTAAGCCATGGAAGCCAGGCTTTGTTTCAAGCTATTAGTTACCTTTCCAATTCACTGCAAGAGAAACTTAGTAATATCATCCTGGAACAAACTACTGTTAAGCAGTATAGACTTCATTTTTCTTTATTTAAAAAAATTTTTTAGAGACAAGTCTTGCTGTGTTGCCAGACTGATCTTGAACTCCTCACCTCAAGTGATCCTCCCACCTCAGCCTCCCAAAGTGTTGGGATTACAGACGTGAGCCACTATGCCTGGCCTAGGCAACATGTATTTCTTTTTATTTATTATTTATTTGTTTACTTTTGAGATGGAGTTTAGCTCTTGTTGCCCAGGCTGGAATGCAATGGCATGATCTCGGCTCACTGCAAACTCTGCCTCCTGGGTTCAAGCAATTCTCCTGCCTCAGCCTCCTGAGTAGCTAGGATTACAGGCACCTGCCACCACGCCTGGCTAATTTTTTTGTATTTTTTAGTAGAGATGAGGTTTCACCATTCTGGTCAGGCTGGTCTTGAACTCCTGACCTCAGGTGATCCAACCGCCTCGGCCTCCCAAAGTGCTGGGACTAGAGGCATGAGCCACCGCATCCGGCAACAACATATATTTCAAAAGAGTAGCCTGGCCACTAGGATTTACCTACCTACATTTTTGGTGCAAACTATTACTTTGGGGACATCTTTCTTTCTTTTTTCCTTTTCTTTTCTTTTTTTTTTTTTAAATTTACAGATGGGGTCTTGTTATGTTTCCTGAGAGGCTCAAAGTGCAGTGGCTATTCACAGCCATGATCATAGCACACTATGGCCTCAAACTCCTGGCCTCAAGCGATCTTCCCACATAGCTGGGACAACAGGTACAAGCCACTGTGCCCGGCAGGACATTTTTCTTAATAGAAAACTACTATCATGAAGAATTATGTTTATCTCTTAACTATGTCTACTCAACTAGTTTCAACATAGTATGAAATTAACAGTATGACACAAAGCAATGTTCCATGTTAATTTCCATGCCGAAGCAATGTTCTTGACCCAACATTGGATAAATCTCATTCTTGATACCAGGTATTTCTTGGGTATGGCTGCTTTAATTAACCTCTGCAAAACTCAGATCTTAGTAATTCCGAGTGAAAGAACCTTGCTAGCTGTTCTTACTCTGTACAGAAATATGACAGTCTGGGTTGATTGGGCTTGGAATTCTATATTAATATGACAATTTTTTTGGTAAGACCTTGCTCAGAAATATGACCCATGTTGTCAAATGTTCATAAATATCTCAGTTTTAGAAATCCCATCACTACTGTACATTAGGCTTTCTCTTTCAGCATTCACAGGCATCAGAGCTCTGGATGAAAAAGGCAGGTCCCGACTCGCACAGCATGTCTTTACCGTTTCCCAACAATGCTCAGGCCCAGGCCCCGGCCAGCTTTCTTCTGCAGATCCACAGGGAACATCTCCAAGTTCTCCTCATCCCGGTAGTGTGCCTCATCTCTATACACCACCAGCCGCACCTTCTGGGGGGTCTGCCTCAGGGCTGTGATGGCTTCTTCGTGGCTGGAGTTCCTCAGGTCAACCCCATTAACCTGGAACAATGGGCATCCTGAGCTGGGCTGCTGATGGCGAGGCCTCTGCCTGCTCTGTCTGCTGAATCTTCTTGATCTAACCAGTAAAGAATCTCTAGAAATTTCCAGCCAATCTCAAAGCAAACAGGTAGTGACCACGAGCAGTACTAGCTGCTTTGAATATAAAGGAGGTGGCCCTTAAAATATCCTACCCAACATGTGCACAGAGGGTGGATACACGATAATGCAGTTTTACGTAGCTACAAACTTTACTGTGAAACCAGTGAAAGAGACAGGAGAGTGTGCACGCAGGGAATTAACTAGCTCATTTAATTGAGATCAAAGGGAAATAAATATTAGTGTTTAGTCAGCATTGTTAGATTCAGTTTGCTGATTGGATTTGACATCTTCACTCTCATTTATTTACTTATTTTTTTAGATAGGGTCTTGCTCTGTTGCCCAGGTTGGAGTGCAGTGGCATGAACACTGCCTTACTGCAGCCCTGACTTCCCAGACTCAAGCAGTCCTTCAACCTCAGCCTCCTGAGTATCTGGGACTGCATGTGTGCACCACCATGCCTAGATAATTTTTTAAATTCTGGAGAGATGAGGTCTTGCCATATTACCCAGGCTGGCCTCAAACTCCTGGACTCAGATGATCCTCCTGCCTCGGCCTTTCAAAGTGCTGGGATTACAGGCATGAGCCACCATGCCTGGCTGACATCTTCACTCTTATTTGCTCACATCACAACGACTTCATAACAGGCCCAGAAGGAGATGAGGGAACAGTATTTCCAACAGCATCCAAGACCCCTTGAAGTCTTCTCATTGGAATCTAGTTCTCAGTGAGCACAGACAGGACCACGCATTAGAAAGCAGTGTACCGGCTGGGCGCGGTGGCTCACGCCTGTAATCCCAGCACTTTGGGAGGCCGAGGCGGGTGGATCACGAGGTCAGGAGATCGAGACCATCCTGGCTAACACGGTGAAACCCCATCTCTACTAAAAATACAAAAAAATTAGCCGGGCGTGGTGGTGGGCGCCTGTAATCTCAGCTACTTGGGAGGCTGAGGCAGGAGAATGGCGTGAACCTGGGAGGCAGAACTTGCAGTGAGCCGAGATATCGTGCCACTGCACTCCAGCCTGGGTGACAGAGCAAGACTCCGTCTCAAAAAAAAAAAAAAAAAAAAAAAAAAGAAAACAAAAAAAGAAAGCAGTGTACCGAAAAGAGCACTGAGTAAAGCCAAGTCATGTAACCTCTCTGAGCCTCTGTTTCCTTTTCTGTTAAATAGACATTATAGCCAAATTATTTATTCTTTAACTTAAATACTTCTGCAGTGCTTGTGTGCTACTCCTTTATGAATATTTACCATTTAATCCTTATATTAACTCTCTGAGATAGAAATTGTTATTAACACCATTCATAGAGGAGGAAACTGAGGCACATAGAGGTTTAAGGACTTGACCCAGGTTACACAGCTAGCAGGGGGAGGAGCCAAGATTTAAACCCAGACAGTCCTTCCACCCCTCAGTTCCTATTCCATGCTGCCTCATCATTAACTCTTAGAATGGGTTACCGGAGATCCCCTGTCACAAAGAAAGTCAAATACTGACATTGGTTAGTAAATTTGATATGAGGGAGAAATTGAGGAGCAGAGTAACCTTGGACTCAAAAGAAAGAAGTCAGGGGTGGTGATTCCCTCAAGGTTTCAGCTAGGAGAAGAGTTAAACGAGGGGAAGGATTAGTCCAGCCCACCAGGCGGATGGTAGAGTGCTTGTGTTCCCCCAAGATGTCAGTTCCATTCCTTATTCTGGTCCAGGCCTGTGTGCTACTGGAAGGTCAAGCCAGCCTCTGAACCTTTGTTCCTTTATCTGTACAATGAAGCAATGGTTTAAGGCTTTTTCTTTTATTCTTTTGAGATGGAGTGTCACTCTGTCACCTAGGCCAGAGTACAGTGGCGCAATCCCGGCTCACTGCAGCCTCCGCCTTCCAGGTTCAAGCAATTCTCTTGCCTCAGTCTCCCGAGTAGCTGGGATTACAGGTGTCCGCCACCACGCCTGGCTAATTTTTATATTTTTAGTAGAGACAGGGTTTCACCATATTGGCCAGGCTGGTCTTGAACTCCTGACCTCAGGTGATCTGCCAGGCTCGGCCTCCTAAAGTGCTGGGATTACAGGTGTGAGCCACCGTGCCCAGCCCCTAAGGGTTTTTTAATTCTGACATTCTAAAGACTAAGGACCAGTGGCATAAAGAATGGTTACGGGGAAAGGAGAAAGGAAGAATGAACCCTTCTTGGAGAAGGTGACTTTTGAATTGTCATTTGAAGTTGATTCTGTGAGCCAAGAAAATGTTTAAATGCCTAATTTCCAAGCTGCTGTTTATTTTCTAGAGTATCTTGGTGGCTTGTGTGTTCACGTAGATGAGCTACATCCAGAATAACAGTGGTAAAGAACATGGGTTTTGGGCCAGGCACGGTGGCTCACGTCTGTAATCCCAGCACTTTGGGAGAGCGAGGCAAGCGGATCATGAGGTCAGGAGTTCAAGACCAGCCTGGCCAACATAGTGAAACCCCATCTCTACTAAAAATACAAAAAATTAGCCAGGTGTGGTGGCAGGCACCTGTAATTCCACCTACTTGGGAAGCTGAGGCAGGAGAATTGTTTGAACCTGGGAGGCGGAGGTTGCAGTGAGCATAGATTGTGACATTACACTCCAGCCTGGGCAACGGAGCAAAATTCTGTCTTAAGAAAAAAAAAAGAACATGGGTTTTGGATATGGATGCACTTCGGTTTGAGTGCTGATTCCAATTTCCTGGCTATATGAAACCCTGTGTAAATTACTTAAACCAAACTTTTGCCGTGTCATCTATGAATTGGAGATAATAATATTACTTAGTGTTGTGAAGATTAATTGAAATAAACCCTGTAAATCATTTGGCACAGGGCTTGGCACACAGTTTTGTCCAATGTAAGTTAGAAGTTGGTATTTTACAAGGAATTGAAATAACTTCAGTGAAGGCTGTTTTTCCTCTAAGCATGATCATTCACTGTTACTTTAGGCCAATGAACACATTTTCACTGTCTGTGAACGAAACACAAAGAGGAAAAGTGTATATCCAGGAAATGTGGTCTGAGTTGATTATTTTCCTGTATTCCAATAGATGGCACACAAGACCACTTCTGTCACTCAATAAAAAAAGAACCAGTTACCTCCCTGGATTGAAGGTGAACTTTCTAAGCCTCTAAATACCGTTTGAAAGGCCCTAACAAATATACTTTTAATGAAAAGCATTGTCATTAAGCTCTAATATTACAAAGCAATTTCTATTAAATTCCAGCAAGATGGTATCTGCTCGGATGGAAGTGATCTAAGTTCCTGGTTTCCATTTGCTCCTCTGCAAATCAGGAGATACCACTAAATGTGCAGAGAATCATGACAGAAATATCACGGTGTGGCTAGAACATCGCGGGGAGATGTATTATGTAAGTGCTTTACAGAAGCACAGTATGCATTATTTAGAACACTGGCTGTAGAGGAGGAGGGGTGGAAATAGCAGGGCTTCCTATTTGAGAAGAAAGGCTCCAGGAAGACCCAGTTGTCAAATGGAGAATGCCATATCCCTTGGGTAGAATGGCCATGTGGGGAAGTGGGTGAACCCAGTTCTTGAGAAGGAAAGAAAACAAAGCTAGTGCAGCAGTTCCTCCGTATTTTATTGCATAGAGAAAAACAGGCATTAACTCTCTACTCTCTTCTGCTCCCACTTGCAGAGCAGGGAGGGTACGAGAAGGAACTGGCCTAAAAGGAGAACCAGAAAGGAGACATAGCTGATGCTCATCCTATTAATAGAATCATAAATCTTGCCATGCCAAAACATTATTCGACTCTATCTTTGGAAGCAAAACCTGGCATGTCCTAACCTTACCATGAGGATAGTATTAAAACCATGAAAGGCCAATTTGCAGAACGCGGAGGACTCTCATGAATGGAAAGGGCATTGTTTGGAAAAGCGCTGATGTAGTGTTACCCTGTTTCATGGTCTCAAAATATCCCACGAAAACAGGCCTGTCTTCTCAAGGCCTCCTGTGGGTCACAGGCTGCTGCTGCCTCATCACGCATTTGTACTCATCAGCCACGACCAGAACCAGTCCAATGTGAAGTAGAAGCTGTTTAGAAAGGAAGCATGTTCCCTGACCAAATTGAGAGCTATATTTCTTAGCTAAACACGTGTTAGACTCTCATGAACTAGACCTTGTTTGAGGAAAGAGAGGAGCCTGCATGGGCCATCTTTAATGAGAAGTATAGGCCATCCATTCAGAATAGATAATATAATGCTCCCAGTTGCCAAGAAACTGTGAACTTGATTTTTGAAAAATTCTCCCACTTAAAACAAATTTGCTTTATTCATGTTAACCTTTACGGGGTGTTTGCTTGTACTTGAGTATACTTTATAGAAGAGAGCAGCTACAGAGGGTCTATCTAATATAAACATAAATAGTTTTAAAAAATCCTTATGGAAGTATAATTGATATAAAATAAACTGCCCAAATTTAAAGTGTACAATTTGATAGGTTTTGCCAGATGGATATTTATACCTGTGAACCCATCACCACATTCAAGATAATGAACATGTTAGATTTAGTTTCAAGTGACCATTATAATTTGTGGACTTACAAATCATATAAGTATCAAGGCATTGTGTATCAAGGCATATGTGCCATTTTAAATATTTAATCTATTCATCTTAAAAAGCCAATTATGACAATACCAACTGATTTAAAAATCTGGGGAGGGTAAAACAAAGAAACCCCAAACTCCTGACCACTAAAAAACCATGTTGTATGCTAAGGCAGTCAAGCCAATTCCCAGAGAGGTCTTGCTTATTTTTCTAACCTCATACACTTGTACCTTAATGAATGTACTGGGAATATGTCTTAATCCAATGATGAAACACAGTAAAGGCCTGCAGAGAAATCCTGTAACTTGGGCTGAATTTAATTTGCAATCAGCCTGGCCTCTCCTTTAACCCCTTCTCGCCTATGTTTCCTGCCCTTAATTATATCTCTGGTTTCATCTTGGGAGGCAGAAATGAACCACCAAAGGGAAAAATAAAATTCTATGATGTCATTCGTAATGTGCTATATTAAAGTTGCAAAGCAAAAATGCACATGCTCACCATAAAATGCCAACTATTCAATTAAGTTCATCCAATGAAAAGAAAAATGTTGCCTAAAGGTTTCACACCATCCAGAAAGCTCTTTAGTTCCACCTACCAGAACGCCTGGCATCGCCTTCTCATTCAGCCATTCCATAGTGCAGACACTGCCTGCTTTGGTTCTTTTTAAAAGGCTTTAACAACTTTGCTAAATGAGAGTCAATTTGAAAAAGTTAAGCATTTCAAATTTTAGTAAGCATCATGGGGGAAGATTTTACATTTTTTGTCAACTTGAAAACATTGCTGGCAAAACATGAACTTCCATTTGGCATAAAGATTTATCAAGATTAAGAAAATACGATTTAGGCTGCCATGAAATCTTTAAAATATCAGGTATATATGTGTATGCATATGTGTCTATATGTATGTGTTTTTAGGAGGAATTTAGTAGGGTATAACGGAGAGGCAAAAAATTTGCCATATTAGTCTCATTTGATATTAAAATAATAGACCCATAAGTTCTATTTTTCCTTTTAGTTAAAAAAAGTTTTCATAGACAAATGTAGCTTGATAACCTGTCATGATTCTAAACCACTGTACAATGTACGTAGAAGAAAAAAAGAATATGATACGTATTTTGTTAAATGGGAGAGGAATCAGTGAAGACATAGTTGAGTAGAAAGACAACTTTATGGATCGAGATCAGGAAAGGAACCACATTTACTGATATAAAATAAAATGCAAAATCATGTACCTCTAATATCTGGTCACCAGCCCAAAGTCTTCCATCTCTGGCTGCTGCCCCTTCTTCATAGACTTCATGGATAACTATAGCATTCTATAAAAAACAAAATCTTACTCATTTTCAACAACCAGAAATGCTTCCTTAAGCAAACAACCAATAGACCACAACCCATAATTTTCTATTTGTTAATAATGTTATATTTTATCTGACATAAAGATAAACAATATGCACAGTTATGATACATTCAGAGGTATAATTAAATTTTCCTAAGATTATTATTTCATTCCTTTAAAACTGGCTTTGCCTAATATTTCATGTTAAACTTCTTCTATGTGTTTTACTGTTAACCCTGTACACTGCTGCTGTGTATGAACTAGAGGTGAACTATGTGTCATTCTTATTTACATTTTATAGTGTATTTTGAGACACGGTTTCAGGTATTTATTGGTATTCAAGGATTTGGCATAGATGTGTGGCCTGATGAAGGGGGTTTTGCCAGCCCTTATTACTTGGGCAATGAAAGAAAAGAACTTAGTGGAATGAATGGGTCCTGGAGGAGAAGAAAACAGGAGTAGAGGAAAGAGCCTTCATGGACCTAAGTGTAAAACAGCCGTGGGTTCAAATCCTGACTCTGCCTTCTTGTAATCTTGGGCAATGAATTCCTCTGAATTCAGCAATCAGAGCCATAAAATTAGGACAACCATATCTGCTGTAGGTAAGCTTTGGTTGGGAAAAGTGTTTCATAGTTAATGAATTAAAAAATAATTTGTATCTCTTCAGATTCATAACCTTACAAATTATTTTATCATCATAAAAATGACATGTACCCACGTAGAGGATTCAAGCAATACTACTACAGGTTGTTGCAAAGCACAAAAATAGGCTGCTTCCCACCCAGATTCAGTCCCACCAATCACCACTCATAATTTCCGAGGATCTCTCTAGACAATTCACATTTATGCACCTAAATATTTATATATTTTGATGAGACTATTCTAAAAATACAGGATTATCAAATTGAGTTTGTCCACACTCCTTTTCCCTCATCCCCTCCTGTTGAGCAAGTAGTCAAGCTTTGAAATTCTTCACCTTGGGGATTTTTGTGGAGCTCAAAACTGAAGCAACCAGAAGTCATTGGCTCTTTCTGTTTTTAACAGAACCGAAGAGCACTGAATGGATTATGATAGGTGTCTTGGAGGGCTGCTGAGAGAGGCGCACAGCTTTTGAGTGGAGATTAGAAACAGAGGTCTGTGGGTTCCACTGTGGGGATTTGGGTCCTGCAGTGCCCAGGGTCCTCCTATTCCTTGCCCCCAGTGCACACACACACAGGTTTTAAGACCCTGCTGGCAATGGTCAAGGGCTGACATCCTTGACACCTGTCAGAGCCTAGAGGCTGACACCTATAGGACCCCAGGCATGAAAGAAGTCAAGGAGCAGGACTTCTGGACTTGAGAGATCTTATAGGCTTGGCCAAGGATAGGCTTGGCTAAGGATAGGCTTGATGATGAGCAGGCAGTGCTGATGGCAATGACCATAGGGGTGTCATCAATGTCTGGGTGTTTGGTTGGGATCCTTTGGAGTTAATGAGCCACCAAAATGGTTGAGGTTGAATTTCACCTTAGTCCAGAAGTATGGAGCCTCAGAATTAAGTTCATATGAAGTAAAGAAATGAATATTTATTGCAAAAATGTGACAAGATAGACAAAATACATACACCCACACCAAACCTTTTTTGTTTGCTTTTTAATTAAAAAAATTTTTTTTGAGATAGCATCTTGCTTTGTTGCCCAAACTAGAGTGCAGTGGCTCAATCATAGCTCACTGCAGCCTCGATCTCCTGGGCTCAGGTGATCTTCCTGCTTCAGCCTCCCAAGTAGCTGGGACTATACGTGTGCACAACCATGGCTGGCCAGTTTTTTTTTTTTTAGGTAGAGATGGGGGTCTCACTATGTTGTCCATGCTGGTCTCCACCTCCTGGGCTCAAACAATCCCTCCTGCCTTGGCCTTCCAAAGTGCTGGAATTACAGGTATGAGCCGCTGTGCCCAGCCATATATGTGTGTGTGTGTGTGTGTGTGTGTGTGTGTGTATATATATATATACACATATATATATATATATTTTTAAGAGGAGTTTTACTGTGTTGCCCAGAACTCCTGGGCTCAAACGATCCTCCTGCCTCATCCTGGGAGCTGGGACTACAGGCATGTCCCATAGCACCAGGCTTACTTTCTATTAAAAACAAAACAACAACAACAGAAAAACAAAAAAAGGGTTTCTATACAAATTCCACAATAGAGAAGCAACAAAAGAAAACAAGAGGTCTATAACTAGATAACCCATCTGGATTCCAAATACTTTTACAATACTAAATACCGTACTTTCATTTTATTGTTACATAGTTCTGAAAACATTCTTTATTATAGCAATTAGAGAGGCAGCCCCCAAGAGCCAGGAAAAGTTTCTGGATCCAGGCACTTTACATTTCAGATTCCGTACCAGGAATACATTTTAGACCATTCTTTGTTTTAACTCTGACTTATGAAATTTCCAGACCCAGGGAGCATTTAAACTGCCAAGAGTTTGTATCTCTGAACTGTTTCAGGGGAATTATTTGGAGGAAACTTGCGGAGTCAGTGGCTTGTGGTGATCCAGCAATACTAATGAGATCCTACCAAAGGTCATTTGTATTAAGGTAGTACGAGGAGAAACTAATGCAGACTCCTGGTAGCACCCGGTAATGATACTAGTTTTCAAAGTCTGGTGCCCAATGCCCTATTTTCACTGGATGGAGAGAGTCACACACTACACTCGGACTATGCATGGGTTTTACAGAACTTGATTTTCAGCAAAAAGTCCTTTGATCTTGGAACATTACAAAAGACAAACAGAAAATTTCTGTCCATTCATACTCAAAAAAAAGAAAAGACCCCCTTGGAGTTTGTATTCCATAAAAGTGGTCTGAATTCAAAATTCTTAGATACTTTCTGGTGCTCAATGAACTATCCTCCATAAAGGATGCCAATGACCATAAAGGAGTAATACGTTAACAGTTTCAAATGCCGAACTCACTGCAAATGATCTATTTTTAGTCCACAAGTCTTTCTGTATTTAAAATTCTCCATTTATTTATTTTTGCTTGACTGCTACTGTAATTCCTCTTAAAGTTATTAGTGAAGGCTGGGTGTAGTGGCTCACGCCTATAAGCCCAGCAGTTTGGAAGGCCGAGTTGGGTGGATCACTTGAGGTGGGTGGATCACCTGAGGTCAGGAGTTCGAGACCAGCCTGGACAACATGGTGAAATCCCGTGTTTACTAAAAATACAAAAATTCGCTGGGCATTGTGGCACATTCCTGTAATCCCAGTTACTCGGGAGGCTGACAGGAGAATCACTTGAACCCAGGAGGCCGAGGCTGCAGTGAGCTGAGATCATACCATATTCCAGCCTGAGCAAGACAGAGTGAGGCTCCGCCTCAAAAAATAAAAAAAAATAGGCTGGGCGCAGTGGCTCACGCCTGTAATCCCAGCATTTTGGGAGGCCGAGGCGGGCAGATCACGAGGTCAGGAGATTGAGACCAACCTGGCTAACATGGTGAAACCCCGTCTCTACTAAAAATACAAAAAATTAGCCAGGCGTGGTGGCGGGCACCTGTAGTACCAGTTACTCAGGAGGCTGAGGCAGGAGAATGGTGTGAACCTGGGAGGCGGAGCTTGCAGTGAGCCGAGACCGCGCCACTGCACTCCAGCCTGGGTGACAGTGAGAACCTGTCTCAAAAATAAATAAATAAATAAAATAAAAATAAAAATAAATAAATAAATAAAAAATAAAATAAAAAATAAAGTTATAAGCGAAGATATAAGAAAATACGAGACACTGTGACCTGTCAATAGAAAAGAGCCACATTTCTTTTTGTTTGTTTTGCGTTTAATTCATCTAGTGTATTTAGGGGAAAAAAAGTCCACGTTTCTTACTGGGTGCCCCTGTAGTCTATGAAGCTGTGGTTCTGGTCTAAATTTTGGCCCTGCTACTGTTGGCAATGGGACTTGGGGGAAGACTGTTAACCTCTCCAGGGCTCAGTTTTAACAGTATTATCTACCAATAAGGCTTTATGTGCAGTGCGAGCACACAGTAAGGAAGTGATATATATATATATTTTGGTTGAGAGAGAGTCTTACTCTTTTGCCCAGGCTGGAGTGCAATGGTGCGATCTTGGCTTACTGCAGCCCATCATCTGCAGCCTCCCAGATTCAAGTGATTCTTCTGCCTCAGTCTCCCATGTAGCTGGGACTACGGGCACGTGCCACCACACTCAGCTAATTTTTGTATTTTCAGTAGAGATGAGGTTTCACCATGGTGGCCAAGCTGGTCTCGAACTCCTGGCCTCAAGTGATCCACCCACCTCGGCATCCCAAAGTGCTAGGATTACAGGCATGAGCTACCGCACCCAGCTAGGTAGTATTTTTAATAGCACCTGTCCATTCTTATTTATTTTACATCTATGTGCCATAGATGCTACACACTTCCCATTTGTCCCATTTAATCCTCGTAACAACTCATCAAATTCAGTGTTATTAGTCTCACTTACAGCTGAGGAAATGAAAGCTCGTAAGGGTTCAGACTTGACTTCTCTGCAGCTTCTAATTAGGAGAGATGAAATTCCATTTCAGGACTGTTTAACACCAAAGTCTGTGCTCCCACCACCATAGCAAGCTTCTCATCTGTTTTGAATATTTGATTTTGTACTTGTACAAAAGCTAGCTTGGGATTTTCCATATGGCATCAATTCTGTTGAAATATTGTCACCTCAACTCCACAGCAGAAACCTTGAGGGCATGAGTTGATTATTTTATAGAGAGTGAACAAAAAGACGACTTGTGGAAGCAGAAGTTGAAGCCTTTCTTTGACTTCACGAGGTGAGGCAATGATCTACAGATCTCACTAGCTAGTGCTGGCACATGGTTAGGGGTTTGCACTACAGAAAGCATGATGCATAGGCCCCCTCCCAACCTCCAACAGAGTCCCTCTCTTAATTCCATTTGTTATTCTTTTTTGTTTGTTTGTTTTTGAGACAGGGTATTGCTTTGTTGCCCAGGC